TTTGAAGATGAAGGTGATGCATTTTTTAAGTCTATAGTGACCACCGATGAAACATGAGTGCACTACTTCATTCCCGAGTCCCAGCAATCATCACGCGAGTGGCGACATACCAGTTCTCCCAAACCCAAAAGAGCGCGGAGGAGCCATTCGGCAGGAAAAGTGATGGCAACGTTCTTCTGGGACTGGCAGGAGGTTATCCATGTAGACTTTCTGACAGATACCAGAACAGTCAATGCACTTATTACTCAGACCTCCTGGCAACAGACATGAAGGAAAAGATCCAATCCAAGTGGAAGAGAGGTGGAAAGCGGGTAGCCTTCAAGACAATGCACGCCCCCATATGGCCAAAACAACAATGGAAACCCTCCGGAAATTGAAATGGAACCATCTGACACATCCGCCGTACAGTCCCGATTTGGCACCAAGTGATTTATACCTGTTCGGAAGGCTCAAATCAGACTTGGAAGGCATGCGGTTTGTGGACAACGATGCTGTCATCCAGAATGTTCGGGAGTGGATACGCCACCAACCACAAAACTTTTCTGAAAAGGGCATCAGGATGCTTCCAGAACGTTAGAAAAAATGTGTTGACTCTGGAGGGGAGTACGTTGAAGACTGACATGTGCAAGTAAGTGTTTGGCAGTTTTGGTTTAAAAGAAATCAGTCCTGGTCATATTTGAATCACCTTGTATTACAGCCCTGGGGTCCACACTCCTCATAGTCAAAACCATGAGAACCATAAATCCAACTCACAAAGAATCTCTTTTGCTGGTATTTCTTTTGGTATGACTGTTCTATGAACTGGAGGATTGGAGTATTGAGGTTTGATTCTGACAAGGACAGTATTGGATGTGGGACCTACCCTGGTTCCTATCCAATGAGAACTGGGGCCTGCTTGCCTGGGGTATAGGACATGAAGTTGACTACCTATTTCCGTCTAATGCTAAAGAAAAATTGGAGCTGTACATTTGCTTTGCATTAGCATTGGGACAGCTGTTACCTTTTTACTGGACTTGCTATTAAGAGAAATTATTTGCCTGCTGTGACAACCAAGTTCACGTTGTGATACACTGTTTACTCTGAACAGCTGTTTGTGTTAACCCATCTTCCTCATCATTGCATATGGGTGGCAGAAAATCAAACTGGTTGTAATTTATGGAATGGTATATGTGCATGGAAGGTTTTCATTTATGCATATGTGACATGTTACACATTAGCTGGCTCTCATTTAAGCTCAAAACCAGTTCCTCTGAAACTTTGAAGGGTAAGTTACAGTATTAGAACTGTGGTCTTGTTGGACATAACACTGTTGTTTGGTGGATAGGTACCAGTGTTCTGGAGGAGTCTTACTACCTTCATCAGAGTAGAAAATAGAAGCAGGAAGTACCTGTAATACATTGGTACCTGTCCATCAAAGTATGTGACTTCACAACTCAGAGCACTGTTATGTGGTACTAGTGGCTTATGTTTAATAGAAGAGTCTGTAAAGATGAAGCAGGTGATTGAAACACTTTGGACTGAAAGCATTGCATTATGTATTGTATTTTGATTATTATTAATTACATTTTAAAACGTTCATTATATTGCTCTTATACTTCATTATAGGATAAAAAAAGAACAGTTATTGGATACTTCGATCAGAAGGATGTACCACAATATACGGTATTCAGAAAAGTTGCCACAGGTCTCAAGGAAGATTGTCAGTTTTATGTAGGATTTGGGTAAGTCTGGATACAGTTTCATTTCATAACTGTTTGTGCAATTAGACTGTCGGTTGTGTTATATCAGCTTATGCACTGATCAGGAACTTTGTCTAAGGAGACAACTTATATGCTTGTCTTCTGGGAGCTAATGGCTTGTAGCCTGACAGAAGTTTGCTGACATTTTAGAGGAATGTACTGTCTCCTTCAGGGTCAAAAAGTAAAGAGTTAAAGAATTATCTACATGCTCATTCCCTCTACTCTTTAGATGAATACTTCAATGTAAATAGAGAATGATGTAAAATTAAGTTATATTAATTTTTAGAGCTAAAATTGCCTGTACTTATGTATGTAACCTTTTGACTTGTTCTGTATCCAAAGGTACTAACCTGCTTAGGATTTATAGAATGTAAATAAATTCAATTCAATTAAAAAACAAAGCAAGTGACTAGCAAAAAAGTGGCAAGCAGAGCTCTACGCTTGCTTACTCTTTGACCGTGAAGATGGATGCAGTACATTCTTGCAAAACTTCATTGAATCTCTGCCAGGCTACATGGCATCATATTTCAGAAGATAGTGCATTACGGTCACTGCCGTTAGCTTCTCAAATCCAATATCTCTGAAATTTACATTGTGGTCTTCTGGGTAGTGACTCAGTGTAGTCTGGTAGGTGGTTACCAGTGTCGTGGAGGAATGTACTGCCCCTGAAGATGGATTACATGTTGTCAGAACACAGAAGGGCGCAATTTGGTGGTATTTGCTTGGCACATCACCATCTGTATCCTTGTTATTTATGCACATATATTTCTAAATGTCACTATATAGTCTGACATAAAATTTAGTTTTATTCTTTGTATTATAATGCCTAGTAAAATTTAATGTGAGGGCTATTCAGAAAGTAACCTCCATTGAGCTGTTAACAAAACAAGCCATGAAAAAAAATGATTATATACAAAAAATACATACATACTTAACCTTTAACGTCCGAAGTGCCCTGATCAGGCCAGTGATGAGTATGGTCATCATGGCCAAAGTACGCCATTTTGGCCAGTTGGGCATTTAAACTCTGCTAGTGGAAGCGTTCGCACATGCCACTAGTAGGAATGAATGCACAGTCCTAAATATTTATTTTTAAATTAATTAATTACCAGATAGACTTGAGTAAAACCCTAATAGAGGAATTAAAATGACACCTAAGTGAACGACAACAAAAAAGAGTATACATATGAGTTATGCCCTAACTCATCCATGAGCCAAGTACTTTTATTGCAGATTCTGCAGATTAATGTGTTAAAAATGTACAGTAAAATTCGATGTACATACCTTTTTTGTTGTTACCTGCTTGATGTATATACATACAGGCTGAAATGAAATGACAGTATTCAGTTTCACTATAAACGCACAGAAAAGAGATCACACTCTGTATCTCAACCACGATGCAAGTGTCTGTTCACAACCATAGAAAGGGCAATAATCTCTTGCAGCTATAACGGAAGGTCTTAGCACTGAAGAAGGGACCCCTCTAGCTTCTTGAATAGCTATGCTTTCATTCTTCTGTCCTTTAGTCAAAATATTCGAAAATCTGAAGGGACTGCTAAAATTTGTCAAGTGTTACAAGCAGGAATGAATTTATAATGCAAAACAACTCTATGAAGAACTTGGAAACCTTTTTACAGTACTCGTCAAAATTAAAAGAAAAAGTTGAAAATAGAGTATAACTCTTTGTATAAAAATTTTCAAATCTTCCGTTATAATACAAGGTGCAGCAATAAAGAAACCGGATTCATGCTCTAACCCTTTATTGAAAAAAAATCAGACAATCGAAATGTTATCCCCTTCAGTGTAGTCCCCTCCCCGATCCCTACACCGCTCCATGCGAATTTTCCACTGTTGGAAGCAGTGCTGCAGGTCATCATGTGTTATGCTCTTCAAGAGTTGTGTCGTTTTTGCTTTCACTGCATCCACGGACTCGAACCTGGTCCCTTTCAGCGCAGACTTGATTTTTGGGAAGAGAAAAAAGTCGCACGGTGCTAGGTCCGGATAATACGGTGGATGTTCCATCACTGGAATGTTGTTTTTTTGCCAAATACCTCTTCACAGATAGCGCGTTATGTGCTGGCGCGTTGTCATGATGAAGAACCCATGAGGCGTTCTTCCACATGTCTGGTCTCCTTCGTCGCACACGTTCACGGAGGTACGTCAAAACATTTTTATAATAAACCTGATTGACAGTCTGACCTTCAGGCACCCAATCAATGTAGATTACCCCCCGGATATCGAAAAAAACAATCATCATTGCTTTGAATTTGGACTTGCTCATGCGCGCTTTCTTCTTCCTAGGGGATTTGGGGCTCTTCCAATGCATGGATTGTCGCTTAGTCTCTGGATCATATTGAAGAATCCAAGTTTCGTCACACGTAATTACGTTTTGGAAGAAATCAGGATCATTTTCAATGTTTTCAAGAGTGTCAACACAGCAATTCACTCGATGTTCCTTTTGCTGGGGGGTAAGGATTTTTGGCACCACTTTAGCACACCCTTTTTCATGCCCAGATCGTCGTGCAAAATCTGTCTAACACTTTCCTTATTGATGTTGGTAAGTTCAGAAATTGCTCGAATGCTCAGTCGACGATCTCTTCAAAAAATTCTAGCGACCTTCTCCACATTCTCTGGAGTTTTCGCAGTGGAAGGACGGCCCAATTTTGGATCGTTCCTGACGTTTTTGCTACCCTCCATAAACATCTTAAACCACTCGAAAACTTGCATGTGAGATAGACACTGATCACCATATACTTTTGCCAACAAATTGTAAGTTTCAATGGCAGATTTTCCAAGTTTTGTGAGGAATTTGATGTTAACACGTTCTACATTAGCACACTCAGCATTATTCCGACGGAGCTCAGACACACGATCCGCTTCTAACAATGGTCGCAGCCAGACTAACCGATGCGCGTGAATGAAACTTTGTGTGACGGTAGAGGGAAGTCCATGGGTCAATGCCCTACCCTCCTCTTCGCCATCGACGTGGCCGGTAATGAGTCATAAAAGTAATCCGGTTTCTATATTGCCGCACCTTGTATGTGACACTGTGTTATTTGCTGATGCAAACAAAGTTAATTCCATCCATTTATCATACAAATTGTGTTAGATACAGCATTTTTAAACACAATTCTTAAAATTGTTTAAGCGCCCTAACAGGAACGGACATTTAAACGCAGAGTAGCAACGGGCATTTAAGCGTACACCAGCAGTGGGCATTTAAATAAACTCCGGCCAGCTCAAGCTTGCCACCATTTCAAAAGTCTGGCATTTAAAGGTTAACCTACTGCTTGACATAGTCACTGCTGGAATTGAGGCACTTGTCATATCAGTGAATAAGCTTATGTATGCCTGTATCAAAGAAATGTGGCACCTGTGAGCTCAGCCACTTTTTTTGTTGTGAAATACTAAAAAAATTTGTAGGGCCATTCAGAGCAAAAGGCTTGGAATACTGACATTTGGTGTAGTGCTTCTTGACAGTGTGCGTCTGCATGCATCTGCTCACACTTGAGCACTGCTGAAGCATCTCAACTGGGAGTTGTTTGACCACCATCCTTAAGCCCTGATCTTGCTCTGAGCAACTACCACCTGTTTTCTCACCTAAAGAACTCTTTGGGATCACAGCACTTCAACAGTAATGAAGAGTTGATGGAAGGTGTCAGAATGTGACCAAGCTCACAGGTGGAAATTTCATTGACACAGGCATACAAAAACTTCTTCCCCAATGTGACAAGTGCCTCAATTCTGGCAGTGACTATGTTGAATAGTAGCTTAAGTATTTGTGGATTTTTTATATATTGTAGGAGTCTTTTTCCTCATTGCTTGTTTTGTTAACAGCTCAGTGGAGGTTCCTTCCCAAATAGCCCTCGTATTTTTGAAAGTATGCAAGGAAATTAATTTTAACTGTTTGCTCCATAACCTGAGTCTTTTTATTTGCCATTGCTTTGCTTGGACTACCATAGGAGACTGAAATCAAATAGCACACCATGAGAAACCAAAATATTTGTTTCAGAACACACCTTAAGCACGAAGTTTCTTCCCCTGTTGCTGGAAGTGCATCTTGCTACTTGTACTTTCTGTGACTCCTTGCATGCACATAAATTAAAAAATGAATAATTCTTGTACCTCTAGTACCATTAATTTTAGTTGCTTCCAAATCTTGATCTTTTTGAACAGTACTGTCTTCAGGAATGTAAACAGCATATATTCTGATAGAAAGGTATTGTTATTTTGTAGTTTTCTACTGTGAAGATCTATGCAGCAAGTTTCTCTGAAACTTCAGTACCTTTCTACCATTCATATCCCAGAAGACAACAATTTTTGTATTCACTTCCTTGAAAACATCAAATTTCATCAAATCTTTTCATTTTTTCTATAAATAATTTCATTGTACTCTGTCTAAAATAATCTTTGAGGGTGGCATATCATCAAATATCTACATGGACTATTATGTAATCATTAGAAAGTTCCTAGAGTCTGTTTTCAGCTTCAGGTGTAATCAAAATCCTTAAATCTCATTGAACACATGACTTTTCTTCCCATAAGGTTGCCTGCTAAAGTTATGACATACCCTCAGAGATGTTTTAGATAGACTATTTTTTTAGTTTTCACAAAAAATAATTGCATTAATAGACATTTATATGAAAGTTGCATGAGTTAACGATTGTGTGAGTGTTTTAATCTTATATGGTTTATATTACATCAGAGCTGCAAGTGCACAGATGCATCCACCAGGCCAGCCAATCGTAGTATTCCGCCCTGACAAGGCTAGATCCAATGAACAGGATGAGACATTCACAGCGAACCTAAATGTGTATGATGAACTGAACAGTTGGGTAACTGAAAAATGTGTTCCACTAGTCAGGGAGATTACATTTGAGAATGCTGAGGAGCTGACAGAAGAGGGGATACCATTCCTTATACTTTTCCACAAACCAGAAGACAATGAGAGCGTGAAGAAATTCAATGATGTCGTTAGGAACGAACTTATCTCAGAGAAAAGTAAGTTTCCAATACACCTTCAGTATTGTCATCTTACGTTGACGTTTCCCCCCCCCCTTTTTTTTTGCATAGGTTCCCTGGAAGCTGAACCTCTTGATATACGTGTTATTCCAGAGGTCTTCTTATCCACTTTCCTCCCCTGTTCTTCCTTCTCCATGATGTATTTCATAATCTGTCTTTTTCTCATGCTTTCTTGTAAGTGTTTTCCATTCAATTTCAGAAAGCTTGACAGTGACCATATAAAGAGACAGTAGATGAACAACTTCAATCCAGTCACAAAAATACAGGCAGTCCGCATTCATATGGATAGTATGATCACCTTTTTACCCATCCAAATAAAGAGCGATATACAAACTTCTTAAGTGTGGATAATTCACTGAACACACCAAAATAAGATGTGAATAGCAACCAGCCATCCAGCTGGGTTGCTGATGGATATGTGGAGGCTGGCCAGTGGCCAGCTACTTATCCTGCTGTCATTCGTGTATGAATATACGTGATGCAAGTGCTTAACAGATATTCATGTTTACAGAAAATTATTTTTGGACTGTATTTTTTATTTCTCTGCTTTTTATGTTAAAATTTTTATCATTTACTGTGTATCAGATTTATAGTCTGTATCACGAATTTTATGATTATATTTTATAATTTCCATAAAGGCAACATTCCTTGACCTGAATGGGTATGATGTGGGAGCACAGTACGATGGTCAGTCAAAAAGTTCCCAGAATTCCCCTGCAGATGGAAAATGAGAGATAAGATAGCACAAACATTGTTGTGGTGGGGAGCTCAGCATGACTGCTTGCAGGTGCAACAGGTTTCGGCGTGCAGTATCATTACTGTTTTGTTTGAGTTAGACGTGAGTGTTGGTCATTCAACACAATGTCACAGTTCGAACATCAAGCTCATGTGCAAATTGGGAAAATCTGCTTCAGAGATGTTATCAGCCCAGCAGCTCTGTTTAAGAATGGACAGGAGACATTGGAGCATGACAGACACAGCCGGAGGCCTTCAACATCCAGAACTGAAGAAATTATTTAAAAAGTGTGACAACTGATTCAATTTTATTGAAGAATGACCATTGCAGAGTTGGAGGAAGAAGTTGGTATCTCTCATGGATCCATTCATGCAATTCTGTCCAACAATTTGAAGAAGAGATGCATCATTGCAAAGTTTGTTCTGAGGCAGCTGACCACGGAACAGATGGAATGTTGCATGAAATCTGTTTGAGAAAAGTACACAGGACCTGACATTTCTGACTGGTGGTGATAAGTCATTGGGGTTCGCCTACAACCCGGAGAAGAAGATGCAGTCATTAAAGCAGCACACAGTGTCATCTCCCCAACCAAAGAAATCACGCCTCGTCAGATCCAAGGAAAAAGTGATGCTTATGGTATTCTTTGATATCAATGATTTGGTGCTTCATGAGTTCTTACCACATGGAAAGAGTGTTACTGGTCATTTCTACATGCAAGTTTTGCAGTGGTTGTGCTATGCAGTTTGGAGGAAGTGGCAGGGACAGGGGTTTCTGCATCCTGATAATGCACCGAGCTACACATTGCTTGTTATATAGCAATTTTGTGCCAAGAAAAACATTCCTGTTGTCACCCAACCACCATACTCTCCAGATCTCGCTCCAAGTGACTTTTGGTTGTTCCCTACTCTGAAAATGGGCCTCAAGGGGACACGTTTCAAAACCATGGAGGACATCAAATGGAACGTGATGGCCAAACTCCAGAAGATTGCAAAAGAAGCCTTCTGCCGGTATTTCCAACAATGGCAGGATCATTGGAGGAAGTGTGTGTGTGTGTGTGTGGGGGGGGGGTCTGTGTGCACATGCGTGCACGCCCATGTGTGCGCAAGGGTCCTACTTTGAAGGTGATTAGGTAAGCATTGCCGTATGTCCTACCATTACAGTGCAATACTACCATTCCAGGAACTTTTTTACTGCCCCTCGTATATCAGATTTTGGAGGAAGAGTGTTAATTTGCTCTTTATGTTTCAGAGAGTGTGAACTTTCTGACGGCAGACGGTGTGAGATTTGCTCATCCGCTTCATCATCTTGGAAAGAGTCAAAGTGACTTACCGCTAATTGCCATAGACAGTTTCCGACACATGTACCTGTTCCCAGACATCAATGAAATGGAGGTACCAGGGAAACTTAAGAGTTTCCTACAGGATTTATACTCTGGGAAATTGCATCGAGAATTCCATTATGGACCTGAGCCAGTTACAAATACACCTCAACAGACTGAAAGTGGTAGTAAAAAACCAACCACGCCACCAGAATCCACTTTTAAGAAATTGGCTCCATCGAAAAATCGCTACACGCTACTCAGAGACGAGCTGTAGGCAGTGAATTTGGTGGCCCACCAGTTGAAACCTTTGTCAGATTTGATTATTCAGATAAATTGAATATAAATTTTTGGGAAGACTTTGGTAAGATATGTGATTTCTTTAGTAATTTGACACATTCAAGGAAATTCCATTGACTCTTATCTTCTGTGAGGTGTTTATGCAGCCACAGCTTGTACTGAACAGAGATACTTTCCACAAAGATAGACATCTGTAAAATTATGATTCAGCACCGATCATTTTTTTTCCCTGTGAAGTTTGATGTGTGTGTGTGTGAATTTGGCCTGTTTCAGCTCTACCATGTGAAGTGATTACATACTAATTTTCTTCATGTTCTCCACAAATTGTATTCTTGTATGTTCCTATCAAAATCCTAGTCTTTAGGTCGATATGCATATTAGTGCCCTCTTTTTGAGGTGAATAGTGCTTCTACATGATTTTCACATATTGTACCCTTTAAATAGAGTTTCAGGGGAACTTCTGTTTTACATTCCTCAGTTCAGCACTGAATTAACCCTTTGGCTGCCAAGCTTCACCACAGAAATACCAAGGCTTTTCTTGGGGTAAATGCAGTTTCACAGGAAAACCCACACCTTAGTTGATCTTCCAAAAGCCACAGGTATAGTTCATGTGAAAAACCTGTTCTTTTTTCTAAAAATCGATATGTTATGCTTCATGGCATGTATTGACAGACACTGTACTGAGTGATTAACAACAAGCCAGTCTCTTTGGCCGTGTTAGTTTCAACACAAGTACCCTGAACCAATCTAATCAGCTTGTGGCATGCATAAAGAAAGTGATTCAGAGTCAATAATTTTGGTGTTAAATTTCGTTCATTTAATATATTCCGCAGTTTAATGCCCATATCCATTGTGCCCTATAGAGACCCAGAGGCAGGTTTTGCTATAGAGTGTGTTGTTTAAAATTCACATGTCAGGCTACTGCAGGCTATCTGTGCATGTGATTGGGTAAGGAAACTACTTGTTTCAGCCATCAGGTAGTTCTGTGTGTAAATGCAATAAACAGGGTGTCACTAGACTGATCATCATGTAATATAACACAAGTTGTGTTGAGTTTCATCAAGTTCATTACCTTCTGCAAACTTTTCATACATCACATGCCTACTAGAAGTAACAGTAAGAAGGTCATGCAAGCTTAATACAGTGAAATCCCTGTTTAATGAGTCTGCGGCTGTTTTTGTTTTTTACTTTAAGTCCAGGTTTTCACTAAATGGAGGTTACATACATTTCACCAAGACACCATTTTATTTGACTTGTAGTATACAATTATAATAAAGTAAACTGTTTGTATGCCAGTAAATAGTTACATACAGGTAGTTAACAATATCAGTTTAATTTCTTAAATAATCACATGTGAAATAATAACTAAAAGAACCTCAATCGAGGATCAAAGCCAGCTAATGCTACAAATGTGAAGGTTGTGGTGCATGTTTAGTAAATGTTGGTTGTGCAGTAATAATGTCTTGCAGAGAGAACATGTGGATATTGATTGTCATTTCAACCACAGTAGTGCTAAATTGAGGTGCAAGTTCTAGACATTAAAGAATTTCTTATACTAAATGCAGGGTGTTTACTAAATCAAAACTCACTAAATATGAGGAAAAAATAGGCTTCAGCTGGGACCAAAAAAAAATAGTCACTAAAGGTGGGATTTCACTAAATGTAGGAACACTAAATTAGGATTTCACTGTATAACACGGGTGGGCAAACTGCGTTCTGTGGGCTAAGTCTAGTCTGTGAGAGATTTTTATCCATCCTGCTTTGCTGTTCTGAAATTTGCTTGTATTTTTATTATTATTTGAAATTTATTTTGATATTTTTTTTAAGTTTCTCAAGTGATATAGTAATTTTTTTCTGAAAAAAAATACAAGAAGTTTATTTCAGTTAAGTTTTGCAGCAGTAAAATTTGTTCTGCATATTCAAAGAAAAATTTCTTTGACCTCCTCCTGGCGTCACAATACATTTTCTAACTCCATTATCTGGCCCTTTGGCTATAAAGTTTGTTCATTCATGATATAAAAAACTTCAGAATTCTGTTTTTAATTATTATTTAATGAGAATGTATTAATATTTACTTGGAAAACTGACATTTGATATTGAGAGGTAGCGTATGATGAAGACTGTTTTGTGTATGTCAGGTAACTGAAGCGTGTGATTGTATAACTGGTGTACTTGCGTAAACAGTATGAAAGGATTATAGTGTATCTCACTCAGTGACAGACTATGACAATGCAGCTATAGTCAGATTCTTTTCTCTCAGTGATATATTTAGAATTGTGATACCACATTAAAATCAAGTGGATGTAAATGCTGCAAATATATTGTCATGTGATGGAGTGACTGTAAATGGGGTTTGATTGGTAATTGGATTTTTCAGACACTTACAGATCATAACTACAAATAACTACTCGTATAGCACTAAAGCGGCCTCCGTAGTCTAGGGGTAACGTTCCCACCTCATGACTCAAGGTACGCGGGTTCAAACCCAGCGGAGGTCATGGAAATTTTAAGGGCGGAAAAATTCAGGGAACAAGTCCTTTGGAAGGGACTCTAAGCCGTGGGTCCCGTGTCATGGATTTATGGCACGTAAAAGATCCTCATGTCTCTAGGAGACCTCTGAGCAAAATTAGGTAAAAAGTTTCCCACCCAAGTAGTTTCCAATGCCTCTGGTAGATGGGGGAAGTATCGGGTACCACTGCCAGTAGAGGGGCCGAACTCGCTGGCTGAACGGGGCTGATAGCAAGCACCAGTATCGGAAGGGTATGGCGACAGGTAGACTATCAAAGGGGGACGTACAATAGATCAACAACTGGTCGCGGTGCATGGGGAAACCCACCCCCTCCAATAATGAATGAATGAATGAACTATAGCGCTATCACTAATTCACACATTCTACAATTCACTGCAGCATGCACAGAATCTTCTAAGTCTGCCATTTCTTCATTAATTGTTGTCTGGTAATGGCTCCCAATGCCATGGATTCCTCAACTTCTGTGTTTACAGCTTCATGTCCTCGCTGGCTATCACCTATCTCACTGCAGGTCCTGAGTTAAACTGTCTTCCAACTGCCAAAGTCTAAACTAAGTCACACACCAATCAACTCACTTCACTCATTCCACTCCACTCCTTGTGTAGCCTTGGCATGGACTGTATAGAAAACACCTCTAAAAACAGTTCCGTTGTTGCATCATGTGGCAATCACTCAGACTGTGTAGAGACAACTATTCCTCTCTTGCTGTTTACAGAGTCATTACTTAGCAGTGGGGCAACATGCTACAATATTATCTCTTCACTGTCACGGACAAATTTTGACTCATACAGAACTCTGGCAATTCATGTTTTTGTTATTGTCTATGAAACATTTAAAATTTCAGTTCACATTAGAACTAAATTTGCTACTATTAATCAGTGTGAAAACAGAATACAAAGGTAAAATAATGCTTCACCATATAAGGAGATGATTCAGTAATCTCTGGATATCAGATATCGGTAAAAATCTTCCTCAGATATCTATACTGTTTTTGCTGCAACTGAACTGAAATTTGAATGGAGCAAATATGTTTTGTCTTTTAATTGAGCAAGTTTCCAAAGTGATAACACTTCTGGTTTCTATTTATCAGGTGCGTTGTTCAGATCTCAGTGGAACTCAGACAATCTTGACAGAGGTTTCTTCATGGTTTTCCTTAGTTCTTCCTGGCAGCTGCCACAGTAGTACCTTAAATTAGACCACAGTTGATTCCTCCCACATGCTTTCCACTTCATCATTCACCATTATCCTTTCATTCACCGCCACAGGATCTGAGTTACTGACATCATTAAATAAGCTGCATATAAATATAAACCTTTCTCTTATAGCAGAAAGTTAAAAATTATAAATCAGAAGCCATTCAGGGTTTTCAGCAATTTGATTTATGCTTTTTGCTTCCTATCAAGATCGTTAACTGCACAGAGTTCGTAGTTTTCCTATGCATGATACTGGACACTAATGGTTAACGTGTATTGTGATATATACAGTGTCTCTTATGTTAGAACCTGAAGGTTCAACATTTGCAAACATGAAGCCTGTTGGTATGCCTTGTTCTAAGCCGGTTTGCAGAACAACAACCAAGTTTGAGGACATGCTTTTAAAAAGAGACTGTTCTTTACTTGATTGCAAACAAATCACGTGAACTCAGTACCAGTTACCCCGAAAATGTGCCCAAAAGCTGAACAGTAATGGATTTCTGAAAATATGTCCGAACGCTGAACAGTAATGGATTTCTAAAAATGTGTTCAAAACATAAACAGTAATGGATTTCTGAAAGTTCATCCAAAATCTGAACAGTAATTGATTCTGAGTTCTGGTATGAGGCTATAATTTTTTAATCTCAGAGAGTGTTTGTTCTTTTCTTCAGTTACCATAATTATAACTTGAAATAAATATCTGTGCTAATACAGAAGTACCCATTACCTGTGTCAATAAAATGGATTCAAATATATATATCGTTTGGGAGACTTCCAGATGTGATTCTGCCCTTGTTGACAGATTTAACTAGAGATGCGATTGCAAAATTTAAGTGTTTGAAATTCATCAAAATCCATTTGCTGTACATATGCCATTCATTTTTAAGAATTCTTTCTTTTGAAGTGTGATACCATGTAATCTGGTAGACCATTCCCAGTGTTTTGAAGGAATCTGCTGCTCCTCTGTCATCAGGGTAGAAGAATAAAGAGACAGTTCTTCCTCCAAAACGTTGGTATCTGTCTTCATGATGTAGCATCCCACAAGACGGTAACAGTCACGTTCACTGCTGTGAGAACTGCGGGTCAGAAGCAGCTTTTGCCACTGGACCCCATCCTGAGGCATTCTTTTCAAGTTGCTTCCTCAGTTTAGGTTTCCTGACTGAAGCGTTTTAGTATACCATATTTCTACAAACATTTTGATGGTTTAATCACAGTTAATCATTTTGTTTTGAAATATTTTAGTGGCTCCCATTTCATATAGCAGGTAGTGTTTGTTACATTGTGGTTTCATATTGGTTGGTGGTAAAATTATGTGTAGCAGAAGCATTTGTATATATGAATATTATGTTGGAAAAGTCTGTCATCTTAGGTATGCTTAAAATACACTGTGTTTGATATGGTGGATCCATTTCTGTGATCAGATGTGAGGAGAGGATCCTGCCCAACTGGGGCCATTACATGGAGCTAGGGCAAGTCACAGGACTCCTGATGGATCCAACAGAGTAGGTCATTCTCACCCCCCACTTAACACCTGATCATAGAGACATCCACCTTTCTGAATCGTAGCATATTTTAAATAAATCTGAGATGGTGGATGCTGCTCAGCTTAATATTGATGTACTGAATTGATTTCTGTCACAAACATTTGAGGGATCAAAGGCATTTGTCTGTCATAAATCAAGTGTTTGGAGTTTTTCTCCTATCTTTCATAGAACGTGTTCTGGTAATTCCATAAGTAAGGCAGCAAAATGCTTGGATTTCATGTGTCTTGCATTCCATATCTGACTGCATTGTGAATCATAGTTGTTGGAATTTGTAGGGCTGATGAATGCAATAGTGCTGGGTCTCAGCAGTATTAGAAGATTTCTTTTCTATCATACACATAATACCAACTTTAATGTGCATTTGTGAATACATACAGTTTAGTTTTAGAAAACGTCAATTTTGTAAGTAATTCATTTCCTAATATTTTCAGAAATTTTTTTTAAATTACTGTGTAACAAAAGTGATATTAGATCCAACAGCATTAATAATAAATAACATGCTTAGAACAGACAGATTTTCAAGAGAGTCCTCTGGAAGGAAGGAAACCTTTGTTGGAGTGCTTTTGTAAATAAAGTTATTGTGAATATTTCAAATTATGTGTTATCATTTTAATATTTTAGATGTTCTTTGCTGGAGGTCATGTTTGTCCATGTGTCTTTAACCTGCAATCAATCCCCAAACCATTGGACAGATGTCATTAAAACATGACATGAGAGACTTTGACTGAAAGCTGCCGGGTAATTCCAGTTTTAATTATAGTAAAGTAAAACTAAAGCTATGCCTGTAACAGTCTGTGGTGGCCCATAGGGTTGTGAGATGTTGAGGGTCCCACATTTTGGCTCACAGATGGCAGCAAGGTTGTCAGTCCTATGCGCTGGCCACCCTTTACCCCCCAAGAATATTCCTGGTACTCATTTCTGTTAGAGGCTGAATCAACCCCAGGGCCTTAGTGCAGCTGGAAGGATTAGGTTAATTTGAAAAAATTCAGTGACCTCATTGGGACTTGAACCCGCAACCTTCCGTCTTGTAGCATAGTACCTCAACCAAGTATGCTAATTTATACTGATACATAATAAAGCCATTCATGGACATTTCCATGTATCCCATAAATTGTTTCACAGAGTTTGCTGATGTTTATGTTGAGTAACATAAAACAGAAATGAAAGCAGAAGAAAGAGGAGGAGGGGTGGGAAATGATTCTGCAGAAATAGTTTAAAGGAAAGATTGTGGGGAGATTGTAGACTTTTCATCCATGGACCCTGCAAACAAATTGACCTAGAAGAAGGAGGAGGAGGAGCAGAAGAAGAAAAAGAGAATTGGTAACAGTTGCTGGGGTCTGCTGTTGTCATTTTATAGGAGTGATTAATAACAATTATCAGTTTATGCTAACAAAGCAACAGATAGCTTTATTGCATGAGTGCCACAACATGGGTTGTGATTATTGAGGACATAAAGTTTACAGAGATGGTAATCATGACAAGTTTGTATAGTTATAGAAAAGTGACATATCAGCAACATCTATTAAGAAATAAAACATAAATGACATATTTAGAATAAGGAAGCATATTTTTTTACAGTAAAAAACTTGATTTTTCTCTGTTAAGGCTAAATATCTTAAATATAATATTTATTATTTAAAAAGTTCAAGTTTTAAGCTGTCAGAATACTTGACTATAGTTCTTATGACAGAAGCCCATTTAACTATCCAGGACAGCCTGCGTGTATCCCATGACTTATGCCATTTCATGTTAATGCAACCTGACTTGAATTCCTTAATTTCACTTTATAGTGAAGACCAGACAGTGAAATTATTTGCCTAAAATTTATAGATAGCTAAGATAGCTTGCATTGTAGTTAACTGAATTGTGTATTTTTCATTAAAATTAAAGGCATAACAAAAGAATATGAATTATGTGACCACTCTTCAGAATCCAGCTGTGCTGTAAGTCAGGGGATACCAGTTTTTTGTCTTGTGATCAGTGATTGTTGATCCAGAAAGTATTTCTGTTCTGACTTACTGATACATGCAGTATTAATAGTAAAATGTGAGTGCCCTTTCATGTACATCCAGTCTCATTCCATAGGTCCAGAGATAGGGACTAGCTCTATCGACTGGGCCCAACTGAGTAGGTTTTACTTGAAGGCAAAGACAGAATCTAGTCTCCAAAACATTGTGTTTTGAAAAATAAACAGGGTGGTTTCTAGATAAAAACAAAATGATGGATAATGTCCAAAACATAACATTTGTACTGGATATCTTTTGTTGAATATAACAAGAGAAGTATGCTGTTTAAAACATATATGCTTTATTTTAGTCATAGCCTGTTAAATTTGGTTCTTTTATAAATACTTGTTTATATACATACATTTAAAAATAAAATTTAATTACTATAATTAATATGAATGGAAAGTATAAAATTTTCATGATGGTTTGCTAAAAATTTCAGTAACTTTGAATCCATTCATTTATTTTACAAAATTATTTCGTTGTAAGCCAGCTTTATACTTCAATCTAGGTGCTGTGGTGTTTGTTTTATGATATTTTAAAGAAACAGTGGCCCCAAAGTAATGATACATATATTCATTATGCTTGTTGCACAGGTCACACCTCAAATGGTGATTGAAGAAGAATCTGTATAATTAATTGCTGATAGAATTAGTTGTTCTGGGAAAAACTGTGTTAACAGTAAAGAAGGTACCCGTTCTTTTCCTGAGATATTATTGCAGAATATCTCTTTTTCTGAATATTTGTATGTTAATATTTTCTTTAATAATAAGCTCCAGTACCTTTCAGGAATTCAGTGTTGCCAGCCAGTAATTATATAAATATGTGGTAAAGATGCATGTATAATTAAATTTGTAGTATATACGTGGTGCAATCCAAAAGTTTCCGAAATTTGAATTTTGTGTGCGAATGGTCGTGAGTACATCGGAATACTGCTAAGTGTCTCGCCACACACCCTTCTTAAATCAGTGTGGCAAGCGGCTTCAAGTTGAGTGGTTGGGTTTATTGGCGAATGTATTACCATTGTTTTGTTTCCGTGAGTTTGTGGTTTTGCGATGGCTGACCTGAGAAAGCAGCGTGTCTGTATAAAGTTTTGTTTTAAACTTGGGAAAACCACTGCAGAAACGCACCAAATGTTGGAGCAAGCTTATGGTGACAACAGTTTAGGCCAGACACAAACTTACAACTGGTATAAGCGTTTCAAAAATGGCCGAACATCGACTGATGATGACGAACATTTGGGACAGCCGTCAACTGGCACCACACCAGAAAATGTCGTGAAAGTTAGGGATCTGATTCTGCAAGATCGTAGACTGAGCATCCAAGACCTCTGTAACACCTTGGGACTAAGCTATGGTACATGTCAACGAATTTTGTAAGAGGAACTGAACATTAGGATTACAGCAAAGTTTGTGCCACGACTGCTACAAAATGAACAGAAGCAGCATTGCTTGGAAGTCTCCAGGGAACTTCAACAGCAGCTTCAAGAGGATCCAAACTTTCTTTCGAAGGTTGTCACTGGTGACGAAAGTTGGATTTATGGCTATGACCCTGAAAGTAAGCAGCAATCGTCACGATGGAAGAGCCCTTCAACTCTGCCTAAAATTAGCTTGACAAGTCAAGAGCAACAATAAGTCCATGTTGATCTGTTTTTTTTATATTGATGGGATTGTTCATAAGGAATTTGTACATCCTGGTTCGACAGTCAATAAAGAGTTCTATCGCGATGTTCTAAGGCATTTGATGGAGGACATGAGGATAAAACATCCAGAAAAGTGGTGCACGAATGACTGGGTGCTCCATGACAATGCACGACTGCATACAGCTTACATTGTGCAGGAATTTTTGGCTAAAAACAAGATGGCAGTTGTTCCCCACCCACTCTACTCACCAGACTTAGCTCCATGCAACTTCTTTCTCTTCCCCAAGATGAAAATCAAGTTGAAGGGGCGAAGATTTGATACAGTTGAGGAAATTCAAGCGGAAATGCAGACGGTACTAAACACCCTAACAAAGAAAGACTTCCAGGATGCATTTGAAAAGTGGCAGAAACGCTGTGATCGGTGTATGCGCTCCCAAGGGGACTACTTTGAAGGTGATGGTGCAGAATAAGATCTAGGTAAGACGTAATAGTTTTTATTTATATATTTCAGGAACTTTTTGGTTGACGCACATATATATATACACACACACACACACACACACACAGTAGCTAAAGCACAGGACTCTTTCTTTCTGACAAAGAGAGGGCAGGCAATGCCAGGACAGCCAGAAAATTTGCATGGGAACTATTTAAGAATATTTTTGCTTTATTATTATAGTTTTGTTGGCCTCTATATTGAAACATTGATAGTACCACAAATCTACTCAGGATCCTTTGGTATTTTGTCTTTCTATTACTATTATTATTATTCTGATCCTTCTAAAAAATCTTTCTGGGGAACCTCACCCCTCCCTCACATGCTGGCTCCTATGCTGAAGCATGTGAATTTTGAAATCCACATTTAATTCTAAGTGAAGTTGATTTTTCTTGGGCGTCTGTGATTTCATTAAGGAGAAAATCCTTTAAAGGTTGAATATGGAGCATACACCAACAATGGCTGGTACTGGCGTGTCAGTCCACCATCTTTCTGCTGTTCTTTCAGTGATTTGTTAGTAAAAAGGACTTTTTCCAAAGTCCTCAACCATACATATGTGCACGAGGATGAGTTGCAATGCCCTCCAATCCAAAAACTTTTTTATCTTCATGGTAAGCTCTAATTGTGATCACTTTTATTTATAGAACATAAACGTAATATATATTTCTCAATTTAGTGACTATACAATTAGAGTACATTGTTATGTTTCATATGTTGAAATGAACATGCTCAAGCATTTGAGGGTAGCTGAAAGGTGAGTAGTGTTACCAAATTAAGCCTTTTGGGCCAAATGGTTGCTATATGTACCACCTGCTTTAACACACTAAAACTTTGCATTCTGTCCACGCAGTGTATTTTTGTGTTCCATATGGTTCTCACAATAAACAGTGACTGTTTCCTTAAACAGCATTCACTGGTTGCACTATGTAGTGGAGACATAATGTGTTTCCTGTGAGGTACAGACTGAACTCTGCATTCTTCCCACGCAGTGTACGAGTATTTATGTGTTCCATATGGTTCTCACAGTAAACAGTGATTATTTCCCTAAACAGCATTAACCGGTTGGGCTTTGTAGTGGAGACGTAATGTGTTTCCTGTAAGGTACAGACTGAACTCTGCATTCTGTCAACACAGTGGACCATATTAAGCCTTTTGGGCCGAGTGGTTGCTATATGTACCACCTGCTTTAACACACTAAAACTTTGCATTCTGCCCACGCAGTGTATTTTTGTGTTCCATATGGTTCTCACAATAAACAGCTATAATTTCCCTAAACAGCATTAACTGGTTGGACTTTGTAGTGGAGACGTAATGTGTTTCCTGTAAGGTACGGACTGAACTCTGCATTCTGTTCACACAGTGTATTTATATATTCCATATTGTTCTCATAGTAAACAGCAATTATTTCCCTAAACAGCATTAACTGGTTGCGCTTTGTAGCGGAGACGTAATGTGTTTCCTGTAATGTACAAACTGAACTCTGCATTCTGCCCACACAGTGTATTTATGCATTGTGTATGATTATCACAATAAACAGCATCAACCGGTTGGCCTTCATAGCGGAGGCATAATGTGTTTCCTGTGAGGTACGAACATAATTCTTATATTTTATTTAGAACACATTTAGTCCTCAAAGGATTAATTCTGATGTTGTGGTAAACTGGGTGTATATGGCAATTCCACATGCTAATGTCCGTCACATAAAATCTTTGACTTTAAATTGATAAATGCCAGGATATGTTATATGGAATTTTTCTGATCATTAAAAATCAAGTGTTTATTTGCTGTATTCTGAAAAGTGTTATGACTCCTAAACTATAACTGTAAATAATGTGACATTTCATTATAACACAATTGGACAGCAAGAAAGGTGTCACTCCTAAATCAAGATGTGAATAGTGAAAATGTGATTTTGATGATCCTTGTGAACATTTTAGAAATATTTATTGTGACTTACATCTTTGTATATTATTTTTATTGATCTATCACTTAAAGCCAATCCACAAATTAACGGTTTTCAGAAAGCGTTAAAGGTAAATAGCTATGTATTCTTCCCTAATAAGTTGGTTTAATTTATAGAGCATAGTCTTCTGGGGTGTGATGCCGTGCAATTTTGTTAGATGGGTAGAACCTTTCAGAGGGGCCAACTACTCTGTCTTATGGACAGACTCTTCTAATCTATGGATCATCATATCCAGTTCACTATAACTTTACTACTCACGTGATGTGTATGTCCAGTGCTATAACTTACGCAACAAATCAAACTAGTATATACATATATCTGTGTTTATAGTTCATAAAAATGGTACAACTTTAATGTGTATCTGCATTATGTTGGATTACACTCACACCCCTTTGGGCTGTCCATTCATTCCTGATTATGAGGTGCTATTTAATATTATTATAAATGGATGTTTAGAGAATCCAGTGGTGCTTATTGTAGGAGACGAAGAAGAAAAAAATACTTTTTATTGCTGTAACATCATGATTCAGTGGGAACCACATTAATAGAATTTACAAAATTTTAAGTTTGTAATGTATTACAGGATGGACACCCCTGATGTAAGTGTATGCTTCTATTTATAATGAAAGGGACGATTCAGCCCTCTTCTTAGATTGAGAACAGTGGGAAAAATTGCCATTATGAGAAATACAAGGAGTGAATGGGGTATTTACAATCAATTAAAAATTTGTATGAGCTTGCTTCATTTGATGATCTGACTGTTCACGTTGTGCAGACTGACACTCATAACAAATGCAGCCATTACTGCCAGCAGCCTGACAGAGGGCCAAACTGTCCCTGCCCCTGCCTTGTTGCATCCACTCTCTGTGCAGCAGAAAACACAGAAGTATGTATCCTTGCTTCTGTCACAGACGTCCATGCCCAGACCGCGCTTCACGCTGGTGTCCGCGAACCCACATGGCCCCAGACCACATTCCCTCTTGAGAGTGAAACCATTTTGGGCTGTAACAAATGCAAGTTATTTTAATAACGGAGTGTATATTCTTGATACACGCTATGTTTCTCTTTAAAAAAAGAAATCTGGTGAGTTATATGTCCCAAGAGCGAGGGCAGTGACTGGTAGAGAAAAGTGAAAAATTAGAAAAAAGGTCGATTTCTGAGGTCACATTAGTTATCTCGATAACTGTTCCAGCCAGAGACTCCAATGAAAAACCAATTTGTTCCTCATGATATGGGCAACAAATCATATCATTAAAAGGTTTTACTCAACTCACTTTCTGTAGGTGTAATTAAGCTTGAAACTTACCTAACGATTTTTGGAAAAACGCTATTTTTGACCTTCAGAAACCAATGGAAGGGGGAAAGTATCAGATCTGTGGTTTCTACCCTTTGTTGTTACCTACATGGGGAATATAATCACATAGGTTGAATCCCGTACCTATTTTCCAAAAATTTCCAGGAGCTTCCAAACTTTGCTCTGGGCCCAAAATCGGCCATTTTTAACGTCTCATATCTCCGGTGGGGAAGCTCCGAAAAATTTTATATTCATAGAAAATAATTCTCTATTCTAGAGTAACTTGGAATTAAAATTCCGACTTTGATATTCAACTAATAGCGAAGTTTCTATAATGCGAAAAACGCTTTTTCGGCTGAAATGGAGGCTTGCGTTATCTTCCATATCTCGATAACTATTGAAGTTAGAGACTCCAGTAAGAAACCAATTTGTTTCTCATAATATGGACTATAAATCATGGCATTACAAGGTTTCACTCAACTCACTTCCCCTAGGTCTAATTAAGCTCGAAACTTACCAATCGATTTTGGGAGAAACGCTATTTTGCACCTTCAAAAACCAATGGGAGGGGGAAAGTATCAGATTTGTGGTTTCTACCCTTTATTGTTTCATACATGGGGAATATAATCACATAGATTGAACCTCGTACCTATTTTCCAAAATTTTCCATGAGTTTTCAAACTTTGCTCTGGGCCCCAAATCGGCCATTTTTACATCTCATATCTCCGGTGCCCCCTCCTTGGTGTCTCCACCTTATCGTGGTGAGGGGGTTTGAGTATGCCAAGGACCCTGAGAGCTATACCAGCTGTAGCGTAGCTACGGGCAGGGCCTCCCTTGCTGGACAGGTCAAAGGGTAGGCATCAGACGAAGAGAGACACCGAAAACTGATGTCGGAAGCAGCGTCATCAGCAGCGACTTGAAGCACAGAGCAAATGATGCTCGAGATGGTTCAAGTTCGTATAGCAACAGGCGTGACCAGAGTCGTTTGAACGGCTGTTGTACTGCGATGTGGAAAGCAAATGGAAAAACTACCACATTATCACTTTTCCTGGATAGTCTCTTTCCAAAAACAGAAGATCGCATTAAGTGGAGAAACTGTTTTGGAAGAGACTGTGGACCTGTCGTCTGACAGATTACTGATGATGATGATGATCTCCGGTGGAGAAGCTCCGAAAATTTTGAAATTCAAAGTAAATAATGCTCTATTCTAGAGTAACTTGAAGTTAAAATTACAACTTTGATATTCAACTAATAGCGAATCTGTGGGCACCTTGAATTTTACAGATTTTGCAGAAAATTGTTCGTTTCTCTTTCAAGACGAGATTCAAAGTTTCCACTGGGTAAATCAACAGGCTACACGTCACCCTTTTGTGTATTACTACAAGGCGGACGCTATAACAAAATGCCCAAGCTTATGTATAATCAGTGATCATGTAAAGATAGAGCCACAGTTTGTGTGTTCCAAAAATTTCTTATCGGCGATGTAAAAAGAAATGTGCCTTCAGTCAGGAAAGTTATTTATTTAAGTGAAGGCGCTGGAAGCCAATATAAAATCAAAGAGAATCTTTCCAATTTATGTTATCACTATGAAGACTTCGGACTTGAAGCAGAATGGAACTTCTTTGCCACCTCGCACGGGAAGAATGCTTGTGATGGCATTGGCAGCACCATGAAGAGGCAAGCAGCGAAAGCCAGTCTTCAAAGAACTCATTTTAATCAAATCATGTCCCCGCTAGAACTGCAAATATTCTGCACAGAAAATATCCCAGGAATAGTTTACTTTTTTGTGCCAAAAGAGGAAGTTGCAAGAAATGAAATCATTCTAAAAAGCATGTTCCGAAAGTGCAAAACTGTGCTCCACATAGGAGAAAAACACCGGGTCGTCCACCTGGAGGAAAATACGGTCATGTGTTATAAAACATCCAAGACCGATGACGTTGAAGAATTCGTGATAGTGGCCACTTACTGAACTACGAGTACTTTCAAACAAACTGAAAAATATTCATCGGAGTACACAAAGAACTAATACCATTGAATGCAGGTAAGCCAGTTGTTGAGGTATTGATTTTTTTTGGTAAAATTCCAAGTGCCCACAACTTCGCTATTAGTTGAATATAAAAATTGTAATTTTAACTTCAAGTTACTCTAGAATGGTGCATTATTTTCTATGAATTTCAAATTTTTCGGAGCTTCTCCACTGGAGATATGACATGTTAAAAATGGCCGATTTTGGGCCCAGAGCAAAGTTTGGAAGCTCCTGGAAAATTTTGGAAAAATAGGTACGGTGTTCAAAACTACGTGATTATATTCTTCATGTAGGAGAAAACAAAGGGTAGAGACCACAGATCTGATACTTTCCCCTCCCACTGGTTTTTGAAGGTGAAAAATAGCGTTTTTCCCAAAATCGATAGGTATGTTTCGAGCTTAATTAGACCTTGAGGAAGTGAGTTGAGTGAAACCTTATAATGATATGATTTATAGTCCATATCATGAGGAACAAACTGGTTTCTTATTCGAGTCTCTAGCTTCAATAGGTATCGAGATATGGGAGATAACGCAAACCTTCATTTCAGGCGAAAACGCTTTCTTTTCGCATTATAAGAACTTCGCTATTAGTTGAATATCAAAGTTGTAATTATAACTCCATGTTACTCTGGAATAGAGCATTACTTGCTATGAGTTAAAAAATTTTCGGAGCTTCCCCACCGGAGATATGAGACGTTAAAAATGGCCGATTTTGGGCCCAGAGCAAAGTTTGGAAGCTCCTGGAAATTTTTGGAAAATAGGTAGGGTTCAACCTATGTGATTATATTCCCCATGTAGGTAACAACAAAGGGTAGAAACCACAGATCTGATACTTTCCCCCTCCCATTGGTTTCTGAAGGTCAAAACTAGCGTTTTTCCCCAAAATCGATAGGTAAGTTTCAAGCTTAATTAAACCTAGAGGAAGTGAGTTGAGTAAAAACTTATAATGATATGATTTGTTGTCCATATCATGAGGAATAAATTGGTTTTTCATTCGAGCTTCTAGCTTAAATAATTATCGAGATAGAAAAGATAACACAAACCTCCCTTTGAGCCGAAAACGCGTTTTTTTTCGCATTATAAAAACGGCTGTACCGGGAGAACCGAGCGGATTACAATTTTTATAAAAATGGTGGGCGACCTCTCTGGATGACTTCACATGGAATGACCCTTATGGAGCTGCTCCCTTCTTGAGGACAAGCCAAATCTGCAGCTACTCAAGAATTTCCCAGCATTTTATGGAACCCCGAAGGTTCATTACCGTGTTCACAAGAGCCCTCCATTGGTCCATATCCTGAGCCAGATCAATCCAATCCATACCATCCCATTCTATCTCTCCAAGATCCATTCTAATATTATCCACCCACCTACGCCTTGTCAGTGAACGTTATTCAGTTAAAATACATACCATAGATAGAATAATTTATTTTTACGGGCAAATGTAGTTTCACACGAAAAAAAAATCTTTCGGATCCCGTAAAAATCAGAAGGAATCATTCTTGTCCATTTGATTAGCTGACCAGTGAAAACCCGCATCGTTACCTGGCCGAGAAGTCTCCGAGCATCCTCCGTTTGTCGTGTTCAGTGGCCGCGTTCTTTTGTTACTTTAACAGTTGATTTATGTAATATCGCCAATCTAATGCCTGATCCCGCAATTCACGAAACCGGCCTCATGGGTCGCAGGAGAGAGGAGTTATTGATATGTGAGGATGCATGTAAATTGGAATAAGCCATCGGTATGTGGCTTCAGTGGCGAGCCTATTCTCACACTTCCTGTAATCGGCATCAACACACAGTTAACCTACGATTCGATACGGTTTGTTTGATACTCTGTGACGCATATGACTCTCAGGCCTCCTTGCCCTTCGCTCGTAGTGCTCGTAGTTGTTCGGTATCAGCTGCAAGTGGAGCCTGTTGCATTGCACTCGGAGGCCCGGTTCGTTCAATGGGGACATGGTATTAGCCTAGATTGGAGGATTGCAGTTGTAGGTAAGCTTCCTATCTATTTATAATTATTATTGGGCTACATGTGAGTAATTAAATATAAAAAAAATTCTCCTGAGATCAGACGTTACATTTTGACTACATGAATCATTCAAAATTCCATGGCGTGCACAAATATTGCTTTATTTGGCCTCTTCACTTACAGATATTTAGATATCAGTTTTCTGGTACAAAGTACAGTATACGAAGCCTTACGTATCTTCGTGACTAGGCTACGGGCTCGATGGTCGAGGAGACGGGATTCGATTTCAGGCACAGGCAAGACATTTCTCTATTCTCGAGATCGAATCTGGGACCCTTCCAGCTTCCTATAAAATGAGTACCGGGAAAAAGCAGCATGGGCGTGAATCTGACCACTCCCCACTAGAGCCGAGGTTAAGAATCGTGGAGCTATGCCTCCATTCTTCTTACGTATGCTCATAAAGCCGCTTTACATCCACAGACGTAAGGGGATGCTGGCGAAGTAATTTAAGGGGTATTTTACTGGAGATTGCGTAATTCAATATAAATAAATTTAATTTCATTTTATGTATGTGTAGCAGCACATGAATTCAGATGTTCAATTTCCAATAAAAGAAAACGAGAAGCGACGTCTGAAGGAGCAAAATTTTTTCTGACGAGTTCCGTTAGCGAGTTCCGTATGTACATTCAGTGTCCAGTTGGTCCGCAGATGTAGGTC